CATCCCTCCAAACATATTTTTGGCATTTTGGCAACTTTCCTGCTGTTTTTTGGAAAAGTCGCTAAAGTGAAAATTTACCCTTTGTTCTAACGTTAGCATTTTCTAATTTCACTATTATGCAAATTTTGAGAAAATTATGAAACAACTATCAAAATTATGACACAACTATCAACAATTTAAAAGATGCAAAGAAACTAAAACATTTCATTTAATTAGAACAGGTACTTGATATTTTATTATTATAATAGTAGATTTGAAATTAACCACTTTAAGAAAAATGTTTATTAGACTTTTTTGCACAATTGGTGTAATAAATCACGGTTTTGAAAATATTTTCATAAAATTTCGAAAAAAATCGAAATCCAAAAAAATAAAAATGTTGTTTCTAGCTAACCCAGTATAGTAATCGTAAATTTGGTATTCGAAATTGTAGTTTCAACACAAGCAGACGTTTTTATAAAGAGTGACTTTTTTTTCTAAACCCACAAATAAAAAAGTTTTTCTTCTTCCGAACTCTATCCGTGGACATATATCAAATGATCAAATGAATCCTCCACTGTTGGTGATTCAACATTAGAGCATGACCGGCCTTGACAATTCGTACATGCCAGAGAACAAAACAGTCCGACTTTTTTGCAACCACATTTAGCACTGCATCCCTTTTTGCAAAAAATTGTGTTCTGCAGTTTTTCCGGCGCAGGTGGGAGTAAAGTTTGAGCTGGTTCTAATGTGTTGTTGACCAACTTCCAACCCCAGCCTGTAGGGTATAGCTGATAACCAAGCCACACTTGAACTTGGTAATATACCCGAAAAAGATGTTGATGAGCAGCAACTGAGGTTGGAGGAAGACAAGCTAATTGAACTTGTTTTTTACTTTTAGAATTTTTAACGAAACATGCATATCGATACTTATTAAAGCAGGTAGTTTTTTAGGAGCTCCGTACATAGAAAGAAGAAAGCGATTGCCGTTGATGATAATTTCTTGTCCCGAAGCACCTTTTCCTCGAGTTTGGCCGAAAAATCTCCGCTCGTTCGAAAGTTAAGCGAAGACAACGGAACGTGCCAAATTTGACGGAAAAATCGAAAAAAAGTGGACTTGGGCCTATTCGACACCGGAAAAATTTGGTCCGCGGATAGGGATCGTGGGCAGAAAAAATATTGTGATTATTTGATTTTGAATTTTTTCTCCCAAATAATGAGGCATATAATTTTCGCTTGTTTAAATTATTTGAATATGTTCGGCTATAATTAAATTAAATTTAGAAACCGCTTTCATAAGAAGCAAAAAGTTACCATTATCATTACAAAATAATTTACTAAAACTACCCCTAAAAGCTAGGTTTTGCTTAGCTAAAAATTTAACACCCGATATAATTCTTTCTAAAACAGAACACCATCTTTTCTGTTCACTGTTAATTAGTTTTTCCTGTAAATAATCTATTGTTGATCCACACTTTAATGAAGTTTGTAATTGAATCATTTTGTTGCCACATTTAATATGATCATTAGAACTTTCATGTCGGCTTAAGGTTCGCGATAAATATTGCCAATCTCGAAATCCATCTAGCCCCAAAGAACTAGATGCATTCCCAAATAACTTACATGGGAATTTAGAATATGTTAACCAAGTGCGTTGAACGGATTCACCATTTGGTAAAGTTTTTAAAAAATATTTATTTCAAAAACTTCTAGTGCTAGCGTCTTTGGGATAAGTTGTTTTCTTATTTAGTAGGTTAGCCTTTTCTACTAGCATTAACCTTATTTTCTCAGATAAAGGTGTAGACCATGCACTTGGATCAGAATCAATTACAATATTAAAAAGTTTACCGTCTACCCCAATTTCGGTTGGTGGATTTTCTGTTCGATTTGCCAATCCGAAATGTTGTATCTGGTCATCACAAACACTATCCCGATCGCTACAAGTGGAAGTGGATGGTATATCTTGAACATTTTTCTTTAAGAACTGAGTTTTACTTCCTCGCTTTTTTTCATTTTTAATTTTCGGTATTGTAAACCGAATAAACGTTTACGCTTATGAGACATCTATAAAAAATAAATATTTTAACTAAAAAATTAATAAATGTTAAAAAGCAATTTACCGAATTAAAAATAAGCACCGGCAAAAAAATCAAAGTTTGTGTTTTTATTCAGCTAACGTAAAAAACAATCATTCACAACATGTAAAGCACCCAAAAGTTAAAAAAAAATTGACTTTTATGTTAAAATCCAAGACTATTTTTTGTACATGCATACAAAAAATTCTAGCGCGGCCGCCTTTGATTTTAATTTGGCTGCCGCAGCATCGCCCTTCCACACGCGCCGCGGTGTAAGTGGTATTTTACAAAGAATAAATAAACATCTGATGTTTGGGATTTTGACTGTTATTAGTAATAACTTATTACATTACGCATTTGATATGTATTTATTTTGTTTAATTAATTTTTTAACCTACTTAATTTTTTGTAAAAATCTGTACAAATATTTTCTAAAATGCCGCCCCTTGATAGTTGCCAGGTGCAGTGCACCCTTTGCACCCTGGGTTGACTCGGCCCTGTGCGCAATAGTTATTTTGCTTTGCTACCATTGCCTTAACTAGGGTACGCCGTTAGCGTTGATTGTGTTGACTGAATTAGTTGATGTCACTGCACCCTAACTATCCTAGGCTTTAGTATTTTTCGCCTAGGATACTTTGTATATCGTTTTAATTAAAAATACTTGGCGTCCTCATTACTTTATTATTGTGGAACCCCGCCACGGCAACTAATCGACAACCCTCATCGACAGAGGGGTGACACACGGTTAATGACGCGGAAAGCTAAAAGGAGATATAAACAACGATCAGCGCAACGGAGCTCACTCCACGTCTAACTCGCAGCAAAGCAGCAACAGCAGCCCAGCAGATAAAGGTGAAGATGGTACATGAGATTGTGCCGAAAATTCTTCAGACATACGGTTCTTTTAAGAACCAAAAACCGACAGCACGGAGCATATCCCGGAAAACCATCATTACATATATAAAATGTAAATATTTCTCCTTACACCAGGTTCGTTTAAAACAAGTTTTATGAAAAATTGATATACATTGCTTTAAGAATGATACGTGGAAGAACTAGGCTTATAATAAATAAAATACAGTGGTTTAGTTTACCCCAATTTAATTTACGTTAACTTAAACAAAAGAGGGTTCGGCTAGGGAAAAAGAGCCTTTGAAAAAACCCTGGTCGGCTATAAAGTAGCAAATGAATACGCGGTCAGGCATTGTTCTTTAAAATACACCCAAATTAATATACTGCATTCAACAAAGATTTAAAACTGAAGAATTTGGTGTTAGTTAACCGGGCTAGGCCCAGTAGGTAACGAGGTCCGCACTGGAGGCAACTCGCCTAATTTAGTTGTAAGGTCGAGCAAAAGCGATGTGGCTCTAGAGAACCTAGGACAACCTGTTCCCCTTACGGGAGAAAATCCCTCACAAACAAAATATACTATATAAAGTTTAACGTAAACGGTTAGAACTCCTGTTTAAGCACCGAGTCATTTTGCAATACATCAATAAATTTAGACTGATCATAAAACAATGTTTAATCACGTTATAGAAAAGGTACAAAATGTTGGGTTAATCACAAAAAGTTACAATGTTACATTTGAGCAGTAGAAGCATTAACCATAACAAATTATTAAAATTATAGTGAATACAGTAAAAGCGAAAATAGGTGTGGTAATAGCTAAAAGAAAAGGGCAAAAAATAATGTAAAATCCAGCTAAACGTAATAGTGAAGAATAAATATCCTCATCATAGCAATAATCATAATAACAAGAATAATATTAATAATTTAATTATGCATAATATTACGTTTAGTTAATTTTACTACACATTTAGATAGATTAAATATTTAGAACTTACCTTGTAGAATACACACTTTTAACAATGATTTTAGAACAATAATTTGGTTTAACAATTTTATCAAAGAAAACGATCTGTACGGTACCTAGTTCAAAATGCTTCTCCTTAATTTTTAGTTTTCAATCGCCCTCTTCATTTTACCTCGGGGTAGCCTTTCCAAGCCATCTGCTCACCATATGTCCGCTTTCTCCAATCCAGCGCATTTTTCTTTTTTACCTCTCTTGTTGGCTTGGCAAATTTTCTACCTAAATTGTGTTTTTGATTGCCTTAAACTAAAATTTTATAACATAACGATGGCTTAAGTGCAAAACGTCGTAAGACCCCGTGGCTATTTTTTAGAGGAGCAACAAAAAACATTTTATTTTTATCAAAACGTGAGTTAGCCCCATTATTTGATTTTTAGGTTTTTTTTTACTAAGCATACATTTCTGTAACTCGGAATGAGTTTGTTTTTTCTTTCATTTGAAAATTTTCGTGGGGTAAAACATTTTGTTCCGAAGTTGTTGGTGGAATACGACATTTTGGATAATACAAAGAGGTAAATGAAGCATTGATTGTAAATAAAAATAATTATTATTTTATTAGTAAAAAATACTTGTTAAGTAACTGAAACATTATTGAACCTTAAATCTGTTATAACACAATATAAAATATACTATTCAATCTTTTTTCTTGTCACAGAACGGAATATCGACATAAAACTTTTTAACTTCTTGTGACAAAACTTGAGTCAGTTCCTGTAGATGATTGTATTTTTGCTTAGTTATTGGAATTCTCTGCTTATATAATGGGCATTTCATGAGAGGTGTTGCTAAATTGTTTGGTCTTGTTGGCAATGGAATATAATTTTCTTGATTATAGTCAGTTTTATAGTAAATAATTCCATCTGGTGAATACATCAAGCACCTTAAATCGATCCCTGTGGGATCATCCTTCTTTTTGCCAGGGCGAATAGACTGATAGCGTAAACTTTCTTTGACATCGTATTTGATGAAATAGTCATGAGTGTGCTTCAAAAGGTAAAGGAAGCTTTCTTGCTCCTCTAATTAATATTGGATATTGACTTGGAAGATGAATTTCTCTTCCTTTCAACTCTCTTTCAATCAATGCGTGCGCGGGGTCCACCTCCACCTGGGTGTGTCCCTTTTCCAGAAACTTGGAAAATGGTCACACCTTGCTCCATTGCCAAATTCAGAAGTGCATTGGCTAGAACAGCATTCATATTCTGATAGCCACACCCGTCGGAATAAAGAATTATTGTCTTTATTTTGTCGGTGCAAAATTTCTCTAGATGTTTTATTATACAGGTGGTAAAAATTGAAGAAACAAGTTCACATTCTGTTTTATTCCAGCAATAGTTTGCACAGTGATGAGTGGTTAAGTTATAAATTGAAAAATTATGAATTTGAAGCTTGCTTCTGACATATAGCTTGCTGGCATAGAGCATTGGGCAAAGTTTCACTGCCTGCACGTCCGTTGTGAACACATAACATTCTTTCCTTTTGGCGGCTTCTTTATCTTTGCTCTTCTCTTTCCTGGCCTGTTCTTTTTTTTCTATATGGTTTTTGTATTGCTCTTCTGTAACATTTCCCACCTTGTAAGCACAGCAAAGATCACATTGATCTTTTTTTGGTTGATGAATAGAGATATTCATTTCGCTCAATGCATCCATGAAGCTGCAAATTGAAAGAGGCTGACTTTGTTGCAGTTCGCAGTGCTCTTTATATAAATTATAAACCTCAGTTTTGTTTTTCCTCTAAGTATAGTTTCTTAGTATCAATTCTGCAATAATGCGAGGGTAATTTAGGTATAGTGTTAATGAACTGTATCATCAGATTTTTACTTTCTTTATTCATCAGCTGTTGATGTGTCCGTTTTCGTTTTACTTCTATAGATTTAGGCATCCCAGGTATTGTTGGACTTTTTACCCATTCCCTAACTGATCTTTCTTTAATTCCCAAGGTACTAAGATAAATTTTTTTTCACACTTTATATTTATCATTTTGTAAATGATAAACAAAAGTCCCTTTTCTTCTAGACTCGCCTTGAACATAACAGCGCTCCTTTTCCTTATAACTCACGAGAGATCTTACATAAACATAAATAAACTGGTAAAAGGAAAAAAAACAAAAATTACTTCTTGCGCCCCAACCCCCTTAATATTTTTGGAAACTTTGTCAAAACCTTACTCGTAGTCCCAAAGTGTCATCGTTATAATTTCATGGACGAGGTAAAAGTTTTCTTTGTGACCCACTAAGCTTCAACTTTTTAAACCACTTATTCTGTGCAGCTCTTAGCTTATTTTTATATATTTTTTAAAAACAACCCAGAACTCACCACGTGGAGGTGGCTGCACTTCGAGTTCCCAACCCACCCACTAAACCTTTTAATGTTCAATGATCCCTTGTCACGTAGTCCTGTTTCGATTGAAATTTTGGCATCCGTTTCCTAGACTCAATCTTAGCCCTTATAAAGCCATCCCTAGCTTCTTCTTCAATTACTGACGAAGAAGCCTCGGTGACCATTTTTATGCATCGTTCAACATTTTGGGTATGACATGGGAAATCTGGAATGTCTATACCCTCAGTAATAACTGTAAGCAATTCTTTAGTTGACATGTATTTGGTTAGTGGTGGTTCGGTAACGTTACGTGTAGTCCAGTCAATAATTTCAATATAATCTGTCGCTTCAAAGTTAAGTTTTGGTATTTCGAACCGTCTTATACCCTCCAAAGGATTGTTCCTGGCTTTAATTATTCTTCTTATGCCCAATTCCCTAACATGTCGTCGCTTATCAGAAATCATACATAACAATATATTTTCAGGATTAGCGAAGTATGCGTTTCTTTGGATGACAGGTTCTACTATTTTTTTCAATTTTTGAGGTAGATACGTAGTAGCTGTCATAGTTTTAAAAACATTATTATTATTATTATGTACTCTCAAGGGGCTATGCACGCACAGTTCAGAGCACCTAGCCGATGAGATTCTTGTACTCTATCCCCCCCGCATTACCTTAGGGCTGCCAAAGATATTGTCCTTCTTTGCAGAAGTCTAATATCTGTCCCACACTTAGCTCCCTAACCTGCTCCGGATGGATCTCCGTCTGCCCAAACACCGCGAATCTGGTCCTCGCTAGTGCTACACATTTGCACAAAAAGTGCTGGGAGTCTTCAATCTCCTCCTCGCATCTTTCACATCGTGGAGATGTCGACTTTCCTATCACGTATCTGTGCTTGTTCAGATTGTTGTGGCCGGAAACGATTTCCACAACAGCCCTTATTTTTGGTCTGCTCAGCTTCAGGAGCTCTACCGACCAGGTTTCTACACCGCTGCCCATAAGGGTCTTGCCTGTGTTGCATCCCGGGCTTTGCTGCCACTCTCTCGCCTGTTGGCGCTTTGTCCATGCTTTAATGAGGTTTACGCCCTCCCTGAACGGCATGCCCACTACCTTCTCTTGAGGACCACATAGAGTGGTGCCCTCCTTTGCTAATCTATCGGCTCTTTCGTTGCCTTTCCATCCGGCATGACCTGGAATCCAGGCAAGGTTGAGCCGATTCCCTCTAGCGACTCGCTGGAGTGCCAGGATGGTTTCCTCTATCAGCTTGGATGAGAAAGACTCATTAACCAAGGCTTTTACCTGTACCTCGTTCAGACAGAACCCTCGCGCATTCTTTTATGGCGAGAACTTCCGCCTGGAAGACCGTGTTGTGTCTGTCAAGTCTGTAGACAAAGCTGTCCACCGACTTTTGACCACAGAACCCGGCTCCCACTCCTTCCTTCGTCTTTGACCCATCTGTGAACCAAATGCTTCCATGTTTTGGGCCAAAGCCTTGCTCCCACTGCTCTCTACTGGGGATATGTACCTTGAAACACACCCCTTCAGCTAGCTGGGTTTTTATCCTGTCCTGCGGCATATTCCATATTTCCTTAGGACAGCTTCTCTGAAGCTTCAGATGTATGAAGCTATCTCTCCATTCACCCACACAGTGAAGTCTGTAAGCCGCTCGCATCGCCGCAGCCTTGCTTTCCAAAGTCAGCGACGGAACGTCTAGTAAGACTCTTAACACTGCGCTCGGGGTGCTTCTTCTCACAGCGCATATAGCTCTGAGAAAAGCTGCTTGTACCTTGTCCAGCATTCCGCGAGCGGTCTTTAGCAAAGTACGCTTCCACCAGACCGGTGCTGCATAAACAAGCCTGGGAACAATGATTGCCTGGTAGATCCACATCATCTGCTGTGGACCAAGGCCCCACTTCGCTCCCATGGCCCCTCTACACTGCCAGAAGGTGATCATTGCCTTTTGGCATTTATCCTGCAAGTGTTTCCCCCATAAGAGCTTTCTATCTAGGATGACTCCCAGATATTTGGTCTCTTCAGAAAAGGGAATCTGCAGCTGACCGATCGTAACGTTTGCCAGTTTTTTGAGTTTGTATTTCCTCGCAAACCTGTATACTAAGTCCCTTCTCAGCACACCACCTCAGTACCTTTTTAAGAGCCCCTTGGATTAGGTCCCTAAGTGTTTCCTCATGTGGGCCTCTGACCAGGAGACAAATGTCATCTGCATAACCAATAGCCCGTATGCCGTCTTTGTTTAGCAGCTTTAACAAGCTGTCTACAACCAAGCACCACAGTAGTGGGGATAAAACTCCGCCCTGCGGACATCCTTCTGACACATTGCCTTCCAATTGTTGACCTTGCCAGCTAGTGCTGAGAATTCTACCCGATAGTGCTGACATTATCCATTTGATAATGTCCTCGGGCACTCCATGTTCCTCTGCACCTCGCCGTATGGCGTTTTTTGAGGTGCGATTAAACGCCCCCTCAATGTCTAGAAAGGCGCCTATGCAAACGCCCTTCCATTCCAGTTGCTCTTCTATGTAGTTGCAAACCGATAAAAGTACCCTTCTGATAAGCGTGTTGTTCCTTGTGTTGTTCCTTGTGAAAGGGCAAGCCTTTCAAAGGACCCACTCAGAAACCTGTCGATCAGTTTCTCTAGAGTTTTCAGGAGAAAGGACGTAAGACTTATTGGTCTGAAGTCCTTTACACTTGTATAACCCTTTTTGCCTCCTTTTGGGATAAATACGCCATTCTTCCGGGGTGTGTCCGACCGCTATGCACCCTCTAAAGAGCCCCACCAGCGCACCCAACGCCACCTCCAGGCTCTCTCTTAGGACAACCGGGTAGATGCCGTCGGGACCAGGCGATTTGTAGAGCTCAAAAGATTCCACAGCAGCCTTAACCTTCCTCGCATCAACCACTTTGGCTGCCAGTCCCCAACACCTTTCCGAGCTTACCCGGCGGGTATAGTTCCCCGCCACAGGTCCCTCCGAAAAGTCCGGGTAGTTGCTCTTCATCAGCAGCCTAAGCGTTTCTACCGGTGTCTGAGTATACCCTCCATCATCCTTTTTAAGGAATCTAAGGTCCTCACCCCGCGTGCCAGCTAAAACCTTAGCTAGCTTTGCCGTGTCTGACATGGTGCTTGTTTGTGAGCACATGTCTCTCCACGATTCTCTTCGAGCATCCTTAATCAGATGATTATAGATACTCTGGCTTTCTCGATGTGCTTCCCAAGCTGCCATCGTGTTAACTTTTTTAGCCCTATTGAAGAGCTTGCGTGTCAGCTGCCTTCTATCCGAAAGCTCTTTGCTCCACCTAAGCTTACGCCGCTCGGTGTGCACCTTCTTTAGCGGACAGCTTTTCTCGTAAGCAGCCGTGATCGCCGTTCTGATCTCACGTTCACAACGGTCTAGATCTACGGGACTGCCATATCTACCCCTAAAGCCCACGAACCGTGATCGGAGTTCTTCATTAAACATCGACCAGTCTTTGTTCTTTGGATTCCTACACCACACTGCTCTAGATTCCACTCCTTGCAGAGTTAATCTTATGAGTCTGTGGTCTGACAGGGTGGGTTCTGTGGAGACTCTCCAAGACCCGACCCTCTTTGACAGATGTGGGTTACATAAGGTGAGATCTAGAACCTCCCTTCTGTTAACCGTGACAAACGTTGGTTCATCGCCCTCGTTTAGAATATCTAAGTTTGCCTCTAGTAAGTAGTCAAGTAGCTCTTCTCCCCTCTGGTTGGTATCAGTGGACCCCCACACCCGGCTGTGGGCGTTGGCGTCACACCCAACCAGCAGATCAAAGCCTTTCTCTTTACAGAACCTTACCAGTTTTCTCACCTCTTCTGGGGGTCTCCCTATCATGGGCGAAATAGGCAGATGCCAAAACAATCTGCCTGCCACCCTGCCCATCAGTTCCACTTTTAGCAAGCTTGACAACAGCCAGGTCTCTTGTGGAAAATTCTTGTAAAAAGGCTGCATTCGCGCCCCTTACAATCACACAAGCCCTGGGTTCTTCTCCACATGCATGAACAGACCCAGCCGCACCAAGACCTCGGATGAGGCCCTTGTATTGCCATGGCTCTTGCACCAACCCGAAGGCAGGAAGTGTTCGCATCATAGACATGCACTTGGCCATAATAGCCGAGGCGCTTTTGCTATGATGTAAGTTTAGCTGAAAGATTTCGGCTTTACACATAAACATAGCCATTGAAATAATCCTCCCACTCCTCCCTCAGGGTCCAACTGGTTTTTCTAGACGACTTTGAAAGTCGCCTGTCCCGTACCCAGATGTACCCTGTAGTTCCTGGCCTTGAGTACGTTGGCCGAATTCACGTCCACCCCGAGAACCAGTAGGGTAGAGTTCCCCTCTGGGTTCTCAGCCTTGTGGACGATCCAGTTCTTCGTCTCAAGGCCACTGTTTTGCAGGCTGATGAGTCTCAGCGCCTTTGCTGGCTCCAGTTTCGGGGGCGGCACCTTAAGTGTCATTTTAACTCTCTTAGTGAGTTCCTCTGGGCGTACAAGCCGCACCTGAGTTCCATCAGAGAGCTTCAACGACGGTACCACCTCTCGAAGCCACTTTTCAGTGTCCTCGTCCTCGCAAACGAAGATCACCTTCCCATGTTGTAGGACCGTATCCTTGAACTTCGGGATCACTTCCTCTCCCGTTAATTCCAGGATTTGGTTCAGGACACAGCCCTTGATTTCTTCGAAGACCGACATAGGCAGCTTCTCGCCAAGAGTCTCCCCAACAGTGACTAACACCTTTGGAAGGCTCGAAGCAAGAGCTGCAAATGCCGGTCCTCGCTGTCCGACGGGGTTAGGCCCCTGCCGTACCTTTTTGGTGGCCGGCTTCACCGAGGGGTCGGATACGTTAGTCTCCATCTTCCTCTTGGCCGTAGTTTGGCTTCCAGAGGCTTCCGGAGCGTCAGCCAGGCGAGTACTAGCCTCAGCCACGGCCTTCTTCTCCTTCTTCCTCTTGGAACCATTCTTCCTCTTTGGAGGAGGGTTAGGAGGGGGAAGCCCCTTCCTTTCAGCCTCCTCCTTCTCCCTCATATATGTTTTCCAGGCCTGCTTTCGCTTTTGAGCTCCGCTGCCCTTCAAACCATCTGAGTTAACAGAGTCGCCTTCCTCCACCACCTCCATCGACATGACTGTCGAAGTCGAAGGTATCGGATCGGACCCAGCAGGTACAGGCCCCGCCTGAGTTACCGACAACTCCGTTTCCTCAGTATGAGGAATGTTTTGCTGGGGAGAGGAGGGCAGGTCAGGCCCGTCCCTTCCCCCCTCAGCAAGCTTCATCTTATGCATCTGCATAAGGTTGCTTTCACCTTCCTGGTTCTTGCGAACGCCAGAAGGCTCGTCCACACCCACCTCACTCAATGTTTCCACCGACTAAGTTGGTTTAGGTGCTTTCTCGGCGGGTACTGGCCCCTGCCGTTGGTTTTTATTTGGTTTATCCATATAAATCCTACGAGTAATTGAGGTTCAGGTAGACCACACCAAGCTCCCTCTTGCCTGGGCTAGGCTTGCCACCGAGACTCAAGAGCCTCGATGGCTACTGCAGGAGGTCGCCCGGTATCCTGCAGGGACCGTTAGAGACACCGCATCCCCGGTGCCATGCATCCCTCGGCACAGTACACTGCACACCTTGGATTGGGGCGCATAGGATACTCCCGAAGGAGTACCACCCAATGGAAAAGTGCGCGCAGTTCCATTGGTGGGCTGCTTTTTCGTCGCCATCGAGACTTAAAAACATGCTTTGCACCATTTTTGCATAACGGCGAATATTTAATAGCAAACCAGAGAGGAGCATAAACCTTCATTACAAATTTGACAATTGCTTTTAAGTCCTCTGATGGTTTGTTAGTTCCAACGTACAACCGTAAGATTCTGTTGGCTGTAGTAAGCCATCTGGCATGATTTAGGCGACCTGGCTCGCGATTAGGTAATTCGTTTGTGCAGTGTCCGGTTTTTATGGCATTGCAAATTTCATTTAAGTATTTTTGGTCTGTGCTAAGCTCCTTTGTATCGTCAATTTCGGGAATGTCGTTGTCAATAGCTTTAAATGATACTATCTTGAGTTGGTGACATGTCTCTAAACTTTTTCCGATTCAACCCTTATGCGAGTGTGGGCCTGTTGTTTGTCCATCCAAATCTTGCAACAAATGACGAAGAGGGAGCTCATTACTGTGCAGTTGGCATACAAACCAATGCAAGGGTCTTTTTAAAGCCTCTTCCAACAATCGAATCACACCTCCTTTCAAGCCTGTATTGACTATGGTTCCATCGCACCCGATAACTAATAGCTCCTCCTGGTCAATTTGTTTAGTTTCAAAAAAAAAACGTATGGCATCACACAAATTAATTGCTGTCCCTGAGGCGGTAACAATATGTCCGATGTACACTGATTCGGGCTCTTGGAGTAGTGAAAGGTGTTCTTCTTTAACAGTTTTTCTATATTTTTTGTCTCATACTTTTTCTTGTCGCCACGTATTATCCTTCCTGCCATCAAAATAAAGTCCTTTCAAAGGCTTATTCTGAAAATCGTCATTAGCTTGAAGTTCGGTCCGTATTTTCTGTCGTGATCTTCTAACTTTATTTTTATCTACTACTTTAGAGGTATCGCCTTTATTAATTAATCCTACATCCTCTAAAACGGCTAAAGCAATGGCCGCAGCAGCCCTATCAGAAACTCCATATCTGTCGCACACCGATGGCAAAGATTTGAAATCAAGTCTCATTTGAAGCTTATATTTTTTATCCATTCTATCACTATCAGCAGATGGTTCTGTAGAAATTGCATGATTATTATGGAGATCGGACGGTTTTACCACATTTTCCATTGTCTCAGACTCATCATCATCATCAAATGTGGATAGAGGATACATTTGTTTCCCTCTTGCTTGTTGACGTTGACGGCTGTTGAAGCGAAGTTTTATCTTTTACTTGCCTGGCTTGTTTTTTTGTAAATAGTTCGCTTATTTTAGGATCTATGGTTTCAATTCTCATATTCCTTAACGTTCTCTGATCCTTTAGGAAATCTTGCTTATAACGCCATTGTAACTTATAGTAGGTAACGAAGCTTCTATCCAGAGTTGAATTACCTTTTCTGCAACTTCCTTGGAAATAACTGACACAGGAACTTGCGGGCCTTTTTTCTTCTCTGACTTTGCCTGTCGGATCAGATTATATTGTCTTATAACGTCTTCATAAGTTGGAAGCACATTCACACAAAACTCCTTTGGTGCACCAAATAAAGGGCAAGTACTTTTAGCCCTTGTGGCCATATTATAAGTTTATCACTAATAGGTTATAGTTTATCACTAATAGTTTATAAGCTTTCACGATAAATAAGAGAATAAATTCTTAATCACTGTTGATCACAACCTGAAACGTTACTATTGTTTAGAGGTTAAGAAAAACCGTTATAATTACAAAAATTACAGAATTTTTACTGGTGCCGCCATTTGTTAATGAAATTATAAATTACAGATATTTTAACTTGTAATAAAGCTAGGTTGTTAAATAAAATTGTTGATTTATTGATATAATGGTTTAACTATAGTGTTTTTTATGGTTAATTAACTAAAACAATGTATAGTTTTATTGTTCGTAGTATACATATAAGGCAAAATGCTTAATAGTTTTGGGGCGCAAGAAGGGCACTTTTAATCTTAATAACATTTTAATGACGACGTTTAAGAACCATAAGCAAGGTTTTCAACAAGATTCAAAATTAAAAAAAAAAAAAATATTTTTTTTGAAGGGGTTGGGGCGCAAGAAGGAGTTTTTGTTTTTTTTTTTCCTTTTACCAGAAGCATAAATATGCCAAGTGACAAGTTTTTCCAAAGTTTTAAATTGAATTTCCAAAATGTATGTTTTTCGGCCCACCCTAGTGGGCATATCGTTGTCGTTTTCTACAACCTGATTTTTTATAATATTTTCCTGAAATTTCAATAATAATTTTAAATTTTTGTGTTTCGCGTTTTTTTAGTGTTGCAATTTTACCTGGAGGGGAAATAATTCTTCCAACTGTTCAATCTTATCTCTCTCACTATCGCTTGATCTTATATTAGGATCATTGATTATCATGTATTCTATAGTGTTGTCTGTGATGTTAATATTCTCAAACACCACGGGAATATCATAAAAAATATGAGAATCAACAGGTTCATTAAAACATAGTATCAGATACACCGAAACTGGATTGGTTTTACCATTTAAATTTTGACTTACTTCAACATCACAACTATTTAAAATATTATTAACTTTCCTATCGTTTTTGCTACTGGTAGAAGCTGCTAGCGCCAATATTCTGGCAGTAAGACTGGACATTCTAAAATCATAAATAGAATACTTCTTAAGTTAAACGATTTTATTAGAGTTTGACCCAACAACAGCAACAAAACAAACAGAGCAAGATAATTAAAATCATTTAAATATTAATTATCTTTTATATTAGTTAATACCTTAATAATTATTGTAAAAACACATTTTTCCAAAAACTAAAACTAATCTTTAAAATTATTTTGAATGTCGTAACACTCATAAACAAGTAATAAGTGGAAAACTACAAAACGTCTTATCCCACTAACACGGTTTCTTTAATATTTTAAGCCAATTTCGAATTTACTTATAATATATTATGGAGAAATGTAAAAATCAGAACAGAAAAGCGTCACTCTTTACTTAATTGGAAGTTTTTTGCACAATATTGCTTACCTTAAAGCACTAATCAACGCAGACCAAGAACCTTCCACACACAAGGCAATGGTTTGACTGTGGCTTACGACATTTCATAAGTCAATCCACGAGCCATGATCATACGACATATTGTTTTAGCGCGTTAAAGGATATTTCCAGGCGCCTGTGGCTTACAACAATTTGTCAGAATATGCAGAGTAGGCAACCAGATAAATAGGTATTACAATCCACTTTTGTACATTTTTGTAGGTTACGACATTTTGCACCTAAGCCATCGATAATCATATTTTAAAATTAAAAATAAAATATATTTATTTCCACCTTCTTAGTAAATTACATTTTATATGTTAATTTTGTTGTTTATGTATCCAAGTAAACAGACCTGTAATATTTTAGGGGCTTGTATAAGAGACCTGTAAAGTTTTACAGGCTTGTAGAAAAGCAATTTATGAAATGAAATGTCACATTTGACATATTAATAACAATTTTAAATTTGAAAATCGTTTTTTAAAGGTGCAAATAAAAGTTTGTACGTGTCACGCTTTGCAATTAATCTTTACGGGGCTCACTGGATTATGGGGTTTGCTCTTGCGTTGCTCACCCCCCAAACTTCAACCTCGCCCGTAAAGATTCATTTACAAAGCTTGACACGTAAATAACTATTATAAGCATGTATTATTATTATTATAATAAATTTATAATGGGGTATTTTTACGGACCCATTACAATACAATATATATATATATATATATATATATATATATACAGTAAGTCTCAGTATCTTGGAATCATATAAAAAACTTTTTTATTATTAATTTTAGGAAAAAAAGTTATTCTTCATAAAAAGTTCTGCATAGTGTAAAACTTAAAATGCAACCCACAAATATTAATTTTTTTTAGTCGTATACGGGGTATGTCAAAAAATATGAATTTGGCTTAATATTAAAGTACCGTCATACGGGGTGAACTCGGATAGTAGGGGCGAATTCGGACGCAGTGTATTCGAACGCTAGTATATTCTAGAATCGCTAGTATATTCTAGATTTTTAAGTCAGTTGACATTTAGATACGACCAACAATACATGTAGTTTTAGTGTGTAAAGTGTATAAAGAGTAAACTTAAGGTTAGTATTTATTTCATGGCTCCTAATTTTCCTGGATGTTTTGCCTTTTTTTAAAATAACGAAAAGAAACTTATGTGGAGAGAATTGAGAAACATTTTGCTTTGCATTTTTAATCTATTGTTAAAAAGTGTTGCATGTACAATAATTTAGCATAAAAACTTTGTGACTTTTGACCTTGGTTTTTTTGTCTAGGGGATTAATTTAAAAATGTGTTCTTAGGTGGGGTGAACTCGGACAGCCATGCCTCGTAAATATGTGAAGATATATTATTTTAGTTTAAGAATATGTTTTTTATTATTTATATGTTAGAACCCAGACCGCAAAATCACATTCCCTGCACATGCCAGAAATATTCCCAGGAATATTCCAATCGTCCCAGAATATTCCCAGGAATATTCCTGGCATAATCAAATGTCCGCTTTTTGATTAACCCAGGCATCATAAAAAGAATATTCCATATATCTGCCTGCAGAAGACTCAAGGATTGTTAGGGGAATATTCCTTGATACAATTTGGGGATTATTCCCCGCCCTTATTGCCTCTTATACCCAGGAACTTAAGTATAGGCATTATTGAGTTACTGAGTAGATCAGTCCCACTCTAATCATTGTTTAGCTGTGCCATCACAGACGCACATCTCCAACTGATATTATTAACCTATCGGTATATATAGTTATCAAGCGTGCGTAAGCAACGGTGAGAGGTATTGCAACTAAACTAATGAATATTCACTGGGAATGTTCCTAGATGATGCTTGGAAGTTTTAGAGGATCATTCTAGGAATATTCCCAATGAATATTCCTAGAATGAAGCGGATTATTCCTAGACGATAGGGAATATTCCTGGAATATTTTCGAACCTTCATTGCAGTCTGGGAATATTTGTTTTTTTTTATTTATTTATGAAAATATATATTTTTAATTAACTAATGAGTTTTGTTTATTATTTGTCAAATGTTTATAAATATATATGTTTCAAATTATTGTGATTTTCTCATGCCCAAAAATTGTGCGAAATACTCAAAAAATGTGTGAAACTTATTTTTTTTTAATTTTTTTGTCCGAATTCACCTCAGCGTATGTCACAATTTGATTATAAGGTATAAACAATGGGCGTCCAAATTCACCCCACACATAGGGGTGAATTCGGACACAATTTATATATAAAAAAAAAACATTAGGACATAAAAATATAGTTTTTTCTTGTATGGAATGGATAGAGAGGAGGCCTAAGTATGTTAGTTTTTTTTTTGAAATTTTTTTAATAAAAATTGTAGCTGCTATTTGAAAAAATACTCAAAAATCGTCCGAAATCACCCCGGAGGTACCTTTATATTTGACAATATCGAAAATTGTTATAAAGAAAAGTTAATCAGAACTAAAAACTACGTTCAAATATGCAATTACATCCATTTACATTAAAAAAAATATTTTTTCTTTTTTGTCTACAATATCAATGCAAATTTAACTGTAACATGTAATCTAGGATGTACTGATAAACAAATGATTTGTTGATATTCTAATAATTTTTGGCCTGCTAGACTTAACTTAAGGTTTTCATGTTTTTTCTAATCATAACAGATAAATGTTCATTTAAAAAAGAAAGATTAGTAAAAATTAACAAAACCTAATTTTTTAATGTAAGTGTATTAAATTGCATATTTAAACGTAGTTTTTAGTTCTGATTAACTTTTCTTTATAACAATTTTCGATATTGTCAAATATAAAGGTACTTTACTCTTGCGCCAAATTCATATTTTTTGACATACCCCGTATACGACTAAAAAAAATTAATATTTGTGGGTTGCATTTTAAGTTTTACACCATGCAGAACTTTTTATGAGGAATAACTTTTTTTCCTAAAATTAATAATAAAAAAGTTTTCCATATGATTCCAAGATACTGAGACATACTGTATATATATTAGGGTGGTCCTTAATAAGGTTATTTTTAAATTTCTTTGCTCCCAGGGGCTCAAATACTTCCAAATTGATAAAAAAAAAATTCCCTGAAAATTTGAGCTCTTAATATTAACTCTAAGATAGTGCGCATTCCAATCTTAGTTTCCTATGGAAATAACATGGGAAAAATTACTTTTGTTGTTTATAATTTTATAACTTGAGAACGAATAAATTAAAAATTATAAATTATACATATTTTTATAGAGAATTTAACGCTCTACAAAAAAGGTTTCTTATAATTTTTCCATTAGTCTATTGGTTTAAAAGTTATTCAACGCCAAAGTTTAATTTTCATATTATTATTAATATTATCAAGGCTTTTATATGAGGCGCCGTTTGTGTCAAAATTAAAAGTGCTAAAGAAACTTATTTTGTTTTATAAATAATTAATTATATGCTTTACCAAATATTTTTTTTATAAAATTATTTTTTATTAAAATATTTTTTTTTTAATTTTTTTTTGTAAAAAATTTTATAAAATTATTTTTTTATAAAATAATTCTTTTTTATAAAATTATTTTTTTTTGATTTTTAGTTTTGTTTTAAGAGAATTGATTTATTTATTTTAATTTGTTTTCAAGAGAATTATTTTATTTATTTATTTTAGTTTTTAACAAGTGCTTTCTTATAAAAAACGTTTAAACATAAAGAATTCTTGTTAAAAACTAAAAATCAAAATAAATGTAGATAAAAAAAATTAATGAATTAATGAATAATAATAAATTATTATTTTCAATCGTTTCCCCAAATTGCGTCAAACAAAAGCCCAGTCCGTCATAAAATTGTATCTGGGGAGGGGCGTTCGGGTTTACTCGGGTTTACTCGAGTGTCTACAAACAAATAGAGATTGCTGCAGTAAAAATTAATTTATAAATGCGCCCGTCGTCTTTTATAAAATAATTTTTGATTCGCAGAAAATTATTTTATAAAAAAATAATTTTATAAAAAAGAATTATTTTATAAAAACATTATTTAAAAAAAAAATTATTTTATAAAATTTTTTACAAAAAAAAAATTATAAAAAAACTATTTTATAAAAAAAATTTTATAAAATTTTTTACATAAAAAAAAATTTATAAAAAAATTATTTGGTAAAGCATATAATTAATTATTTATAAAACAAAATAAGTTTATTTACCTACCACTTTTAATTTTGACACAAACGGCGCCTCATAAAAATCCTTGATAATATTAATAATAATATGAAAATTAAACTTTGACGTTGAATAACTTTTAAACAAATAAACTAATGGAAAAATTATAGGAGACCTTTTTTGTATAGCGTTAAATTCTCTATAAAAATATGTATGATTTATAATTTTTAATTCATTCGTTCCCAAGTTATAAAATTATAAACAACAAAAGTAATTTTTCCTATGTTATTTCCATAGGAAACTTAGATTGGAATGCGCACTATCTTAGAGTTAATATTAAGAGCTCAAATTTTTAGGGATTTTTTTTTAATTAATTTGGAAGCATTTGAGTTCCTGGGAGCAAAGAAATTTGAAAATAACCTTATTAAGGACCACCCTAATATATATATATAT